CATCGTTTCCTAAGAGAATATGGAATCGTCGGGAAATAGTTGACCTTAGTTGGGCTGTTTTTAAAAAACGTTTGATGTAACATGAAGAGAATTGTACGAGGTTTATGAAAAGCTGAACTTGTTCGTGAGCTGATTGTCAATTAAGGTTCTAATTTAATTTTTCTCTTAATTTTAATGAACGAAAGACCGTTCAAAAACAACAGTTTTCATATTCTCTTAGGAAACGATGAAAATACACTTTTTCTATCCGGTTTTTACATATATGATAGAGCTCATGGTTCTGAACAATTGTGCCGTTTAGCAGGTTACCAAAATCGATTTCTAAAAGACAGCAGAAGTTGTTTTCTGTCTATTCCGTGCGATTTGCACGGACTGTCCCGAATTATCCCATGCAAAATAGCTGAGTGTCCATCATTACCCCAAAGAAGAAGAAGAAGAAAACGACTATGTTCGTTCATTTTGGTAATTTCTAATTGATTAATCAAGGATATATCCAAAGGACTAGCAATTTACAAGGTAGATAGAACTCAAAATTCTCTACAAGATGGTGTAGTTTTTAATTAAAAAGGTAAAACTTTGCCGTTGAAAAAAAGTTGTTTTACTTTCTTCCAGCCATTTTTGCTGGACTGTCCAGGAGCTCTCTGGAAATTGATGAGTACTAATTAATCTTATTGAACTTTAACAAGATTTTTACATTAGTAGATAGAGAAATGTTCGGTCTATCCACTTGCGAAATGTCGTTTTTTCCCGAGTAAAAATGCTTCAGGTATACTCAAAATACTGTGAAAATTAGAGAGGCTGTCCCGAATTACCCTAATCTACTCTAAAGCTTTATATACATATTGACACGTAAACATTTTTACCTTTTTTTCCCTTTTTTCCAAAACTGTTCTGTATATTAAATATTTTACAAAGAAAAAAACGTAAAATAAAAAACGCATGCATCAAACAAATATTCTCTGTTCATCAATTTGTTTTAATGAGCAACTATCTTGTGAAGAACAGTTTGATTTTGTTGATAATCGATAAGATTCTGCTTCTATTGGTTGTTGTTCTTGTTTTTCTTTAATTTTTTTATTCGATTTTTCCCGACGATATATACGATAGGCGATATCGAATATTTGACCAAACGTCAACATTATCTCTGTAGACATCATGTCAGTTTTAACTACAAATACGTGACAATAATTATGATAATCAATAATAGGAGGTGATGATTGTTGTTGTTGTTGATCATCGATTGAACGTTGTTTTTCAACATTGGATAAACGTTGTTCTCGTGTTACGTATGCAAAATATTTTAAATCATCATTATCTTGTACAGCACAATTGATTGTTTTAATATCATGAAAACATATGATGATTTTATCTTTACTATGTTTTAGAAACTCTACGCCGCGTGATGATATACTTAAACCAATGATGGGTAATACACGTGAATATTTAGTTGACTGTTTTAAACGTTGTATTGCACTACATATTGGACTTGTTGAAGATGATTGTGTTTCATTTAATTTGATTGCTGTACTACCTAATAAAAAAAATCGATTAGATAATGACGTACTGTTTAAACAAACAAAAAATAGATGTATAGAAAGAAATAAAACTAATTTATACTGATAATGAAAGCAATTTTTTTTCTTTGTTACCCTAATCTTATAAAAACAAACACTTTTTTCACGTACTTTCACTTGACTCTTACATATTGAATAAGAATACGTACCCAAATAGTTAACCCAATATACACAAGATTGGCTATCAATTAAACGATCTGAAACATGCGGCCATTTGTAACAGCGTGAATTAATTGTTGTAGTTGATGTCGGTTTTTTTATTTGTGTACGATATAGTACAGAATTTTCTGCTCCAATAGTAGTTATTGCAGATTTTGTATTACAACTGTCATCTGAAGAAGATTCTTCTCGTAGAGCTAAATGATTATTCGTTGTTGTTTTAATGGACGTTGGTGATGATGAATTTGAATTATCAAATGATTTTGAAGTTTTTTCTAAAGAATCGGTTATAATCGAATTTGAAGATGACGATAAAATTAGAGGCGTAGATGATATTGTATGTTTTAATTGTATATTATCACTATTTTGATCCTCATATGTTTGTACACCTTTTTCCAATTGATTATCTATTATCGGTTCTGTTACTAAATTGACCAATGATTTTCCTGTCATTGTACATCTTGATAATAGAGTTTTAGGCTTTTTTTGTTCTTCATTATTCGCTTGTACGGTTTCATAACTATTATTAGCTGAATCTAAAGATAATTTACAATCAAAATACCGTTCATCTTGTGTTGTTGGAGTTCTTATCAAAGAAGAATATTGTTGTTGTCGTTGTTGTTGATCTTGTTTGGTAATATGTTCACAAAAATGATACCGTTGAGATTGCTGAGATAATGTCAAATGATTACATTGAACACATTGTGATGAATGAATATGTCGACGTGATCGAATTGCATCAGCTTTTTGTCTCATTATAACAGTATTATTATTCGTTGTTGTAAGTATTAACGGCACAGTTGTAACAGTATTATCTAATTTTTTTGTTTTGTGATCGTCAGTTTCATCTTTTAGATTAGAAATAATTGTTTCTTTGTCTAAAGTTGTAGTAGCAATAGATTTTGACAAATGATTGTTATCAACAAAATCAATTAATGATACATCAGCAGTAAATGGTTCGCATGTTTTCTGATCGAGTACGGTTTTACGAAATAATGCTAAAAATTCAAAAATAAAATGAATAAATAAAGTAAAGATGTTTCATATAATTAAATCTTCAAAGTCAAAAAATGATAAATATATTTGAATATTTACTTTTATTTTCTTCCACTAAATCATTTTTTATTGACGCACTGTCTACATTATCAGAATTCGTTTTGCTCGATGTTTTAGAATGTTGAATAAAACTAAATTCTTTTTTCACATGTTCATCATCATGGTTATTATTATTATTATTATTATTATTATTATTATTATTACTATCATTATTATTATTGTTGTTGTTGTTATTTGTATTTAGGTCACCAATAATTCCATTTTCTTGAATATCAGTCATTGGATAAACAGTCGATAATTTTGTAGCGTTGGCGTTTATTCGTGATCGTGGTTGTGATTGTGATTGTAATATAGTATCGTCTGTCGAACTTTCATCAATTGAACAGCCGGCTAATTCAAAACATACAGAATTACGATGTAATAAACGATCCGTATTTGTCATTGAATTTGAACGTTTTAATAATATAACATTATTTTGATCAATCGATTTTGGTATATCATGAGCAAGATTTGGTTGATTATGATTATTATCGAGTGAACTGATATTTATTTGACTTGAATAATTTTTACGTCGAAATAAACGTACACCATTATTAGCACGATTTTTCAAACGACTCGATATTGGTTCAAATTTTTTCGGCCATAACTAATATTAAAACGAGAGAAAATGGATGATATGAATACGACTATAGCTGTATATATATATATCTATCTATATATATATATACGGTTACGTGTGTATATCGTGCAGAAGAGAAAGAGAGAGAGAGAATAACGACGATAGAGAGACTAAGGTTATCTTTTACAACCTCTTTTTCACCCCAGAAGAAGAGGAAAAAAAGGAAAAAGGGAAAGATTAGTACTAAGTGTATGAACATACATCCTTGACAGAAGAAAATGTTGAGTGAGACCTGTTCTATAGAGTTAGTGAACGAAATTTAACAAAAAGTCACTCACAGAGGCTAACAACATGATATCACTTATCCAGCAATTTAGAATACGGACAAAATGAAACAGTTGTCGTATCGGTCAAGATAATTTCAGTTTTAATTTTAATTACTGATGTTAATGTTCAGTCTTACCTTATTTTCATGTGGAAGTTCAGATTGACTGATCAATGCTAAATTACTCAAGGATGCCATCATTGGATGTATATCTGAAAAATAAATGAACTAAGTTAATATAATTATTTTCCAATTAGTAACAAATCACTTGTAAATAATTTCAACTAAATATGTACCCAGTGGTATTGAAAATATGAGTTGATGTCTTATAAACGAGCGCTTCAGATTGTGTTTATGAATAAATTGTTAAATATGTATAACATAAAAAACAGTCTCATTTTAAGTTTTGTTAATTCTTTCTGTTATTAAGAATGTTACTGTAAAAAAAGTAAGTTTTTTTTGTTTCATTTCGTTCTTAAACAACGCCTTCATCACAAATCGTCTTATTTTGTCCATATTATGCAGTTGATTGCTGCAAAAAATCATGAAAAGAACATTCGTCTACAGTCAATAGTAGACATATAGCAAATAAAAACTATGATCCAATATGTATACTGATTGTTTGCCTGTTACTTGTTCTTCTGTACTCTTGAAATATGACACACACATCATACTCGTTCTTCACGTAATATATGTTCATTCCATGTTATTCTTATTCAACAACGGTCTTCACTCACTGTATGTAACGAAAAAAATTTTACTTTTTTTTTGTTTTTTCATTCAAATACTCAAATTCAACGAGTGTACATTATCTGTCTAATACAAGTAAAAGAATAGCCAAAACAATTTTCAATTCAATATAAAGTGCCGCACATCATTCAACAATAACACATTAATCAGTAACAAATCTTTCAACTAGTCAAATAGAAAACAATGAAAGAAGTTATTCGAAATAAATTTGGTTTGTCAGATAAAATTTTTGAACAAAGAAATGTTAGAAATATTTTTGCTCATTATAGAACCTTTGTCTTCAGTTTTCAAAGATAGTAAAGTTATGCAGAAATACGAAACGAAATTATTAGCATTATTAGCCACAAGGTGATCATAAAAAAGGAAGTTTCGTCTTCAAAAAAAATAGAACAGTGATATTCTTTCTACAAGTTCAAATAATGCACAAAAAAGTGATGAAGGTGCGAGTAAGATAAAAAAAAGAGATGATTACATTCAATTCTGCTGAAGATACATATGACAGTTCTTAGAAAATATGCAAAGAAATTAACCACTAGATAACTGGAGCAAATTTTTTCACTTTTCTACACTTGAGCTCAACTGATTGGATTTTTTCAACTAATCAGTGCCAAAAACTGATGAAGTGTATTAGAAATCCTGTCTTCTTTTGACAAAAAGTAAAACTGGTAGATGAAAGTGTCAACTCTACTGATTTATTCTCAAGTTTAGAGTTGAAGCGTCAAGAAATTTACGTTGCATTTATACGCAACTATCAACATTCTTTCAAGGCAATTCAAGGCTTCTTGTTCTACGATTATCTATTGAATTGTTGATAATATTTTCTGAATGTAAAAACAAAGAATACTATGTTTATCTGAGAAAAATCATGTTTAATAGACTTACTTCTTAACAAAATTTGAATAAATTATCACAAACATTCGTATTCAATTAAAATAGCGAATTTAAAAACTACATTAACAATAAGTCTACTGTATAAATTATATCGTTTGGCTTACCTTCATATTTTTATCCCTCTTATATGACATCGGGCTAAAAACACTGAAAAAGTATATGCTTTTTGTATGTGCTTAATTTTACTTTACTTTGTAAAAAAATAACTCTCAGATTACACTGAAAAACACAACGTAATGTGTGTTTTTACAAAAGAAGAAAACAAGATCTGCATACTTAGAAAGGACACAAAAACGATTAAAAGAATCCGCAGTAAATTCACGTTTGTCTTCGCCCTTCACATGTATCAATCGTTAGTGATAAAATTAAATTTTTTTATTTTATTTGGTGACCGCAGACATATCTCTCTTTCTATAGTTGAACAAAAAAAAAAAAATAGATAAATTATTGTTTCATTGTAAAATAGTTTCTAATAGAGAACACTACACAGTTCTATATACTTCTTTCTTCGCATCGAAGTGCTGAAGTAGAAAAAAAAATTGAATTTTTTGTTTCTTTCTCTTTTTCTTTTGTATGTATATTTTATGTATGTCTAAAGGTATGTACTGTCAAACATTAAAAACTGACATATACGTACTTTGATATATATTGCTAAAACAATTTAGAATAAAGAATAGAACAGAGACAATGTCCACTCAATATCTTCCCTTTTTAATGAAAATATATGCTGGTCACAGATTAGAAACTATTATTTGCTGGATTAGCATGTCGCGAATGATGTGTAAACAGATCAACTGACAGAGAGAGAGAGAGAGAAAGAGAAACAGAGAAGAAGAAAGAGCGAAAGAGAAATGATTTATAACTTTTTTATTCTATTATCTTGGAGAGTGTTTGAGCTTCTTCTCACGTTTAACTAACTGCAAAAGACAAAAACAAATTATAGGGATTAACTTTTGTTAGGAAGATGGGATGAATATACAAGAGAGAAGACATGAAATTTTAAAATGCTGAGTATTAACTGAATCTATTTGACCATTATTTTTCTCTATATTAGCAATATGGTATCTGTTAAAATATTATGCTCTTGATATCAAGTAATCAAAATGTCCTTGTGTTCACTCAAAAGAGACAATGTATATGTTTGTAGTTATCAATCTTCAAATGTATAACAGATTGTATCACAGAAATAATATAATTGGAAGTATACGCAGAGCAATGGAACAATAAAAAAAAAAGAAAAGAGTATGTAAGGAATGTCTAATGTTGATTATATAACTGGCTAACTACAAGGTTATTGTGTTGATTGAACTATTTACAAGGCTACTAGATATTTTAATTTCTAATAGGTTATCGACATAGAGGTCAAAAATTGAGCTAAAAGTTCATTTTCTTACATAAAGAAATCAATGTAGGATGAAATAGTATTTCTAGAACTTTCTATTTGATAAGTTAAACAATTTGTTACCGTTTTCAATTTAGATCTTCCACTGCCACCGAATCTATCGATTGTTGTTCGATCAAATAACTGTTACTTTTTTTCTGTGCTCTATTGAAAATTGATATACCTTCGTTTGTTGTTTTCAAAATGTTTTTATACATTTTATATTTGTATGCAAAAATATTATCATCATATTTTTCGTTCTAGCATCTGTTTGTTTTAGTTTTTGAAAAAGAAAGGAGTAAAAATAAACTTTTCCTCTTCTTTCTTCTAATTGTTCAGATTATGCGCTATATTTTTATAAAAAATAAAAGTTGAGAAAAAACTGTTTTTGTATGCTTTATTTCATTTTTCTTCACTGCACACTTTTAACCTTCCATTCGTTTGAAGTACGAATGAGCAGATAAACAAGTAGATGTTTTGAATACTAATCTGCCTTCTAGTCAAGTAAAGAGACAGAGAAAAAGATTCCTCTGAGCAAAAAAACAATGTACAAAAAACTTTTCGAAATAAACGACATAGAAAAAAGTCGGTACATATTTTTCTAGTGTTAATTTTTGACCTTCTAACGCCTGAAAGCTTGTACCTATGAAGTAAAATATCGTTGAAACGAATAAAAACAAAAGGACAAACATTTTTCGATCTATAGAAAATGAGAACATCGAAAGTTAATTCTCAAGTGAGAGTGACAAATGAGTAATACGAAGTCTCTTTGCTAGAGTACAATAATTTTTTGACTTTGATAAGTTTGTTTCATAACCGCCTTGTTAGTTACAGAAAAGCGTAAGTCTAGAAAACTTGAACTGATTCTTACTACGTACGCAGTTCTTAAGACTTCTTTGCTGCAATCTCATCGAAGTCGACAATATATATTTTCATCGCTGAAAAGTGATTTTAAGATAGATTTATTAACCGCAGGCAAAGGCGAGTTTTAAAAATTAAAATTAATCTTCTGAGCTATGTTCGAGCGTGAAAATTTTTTCATATTATAGGCTAAGAATGGAAAAAAAAAGAATCTACTATCGGACTCAAAATGAAGTTTAGATGGATCTAACGTTCGAAAGCCACAGACTTGTTCACATCGTTTATTATACAAGGAGAACTCTTCCTCAATTTGGAAATAAACTATAACCAATACCAAATTGATCATAACTTAACAGAGAAAAAAGAGAAAAATCAACAACTTGTTGATTGTATTTGTTGATTATATTTGGTAGTTAATTTCTCAGAATGAATATCACTCTTTTGTGGACGATATTGTTGGTCAAGTGTTTGTAATTCATTATCATCATCATCTATATCTTTTAGTTCATTAGTATCCATAAAAGTATGTACAGAATTTGGTGCTGTTTGTTCACGATTTGACAGAACGGGCGTTTGCATAACATTTGGATTTTTATAGACGATATTGTTGTTATTTGAACTTGTTGTATTCTGGTGTTGTTTTCGTGGTGTTGATGATGCACCCCCTGACATTGTTGATTGAGAGTGTGTTTTCAAAACACCACCACCACCACTATTACGATTCGTAATTACTATATCAGTGTTCGTAAGTGGCTCAACTGTAATAGAATTTGATCTTGAGTCTGTTGTTGTGTCAAATCGGCGTGACGGATTATATGGGCTATTTGTAGCATTACTCATATGACGTTGTTGTTGTTTTTTCTGTTTTTTCTTTCGTTTCCATATAGCTTTGAATCTGTACCATAGAATAACGAGAATAATGGCAAAGGCGGTGATGCCAAAGATAGTGGCTATAACAGTAAACAGTTTAATCATATTATCACGTTTTCGTTTTTTATCTGAAATTGGACTGAGTGTGTACTTGAACCACGAAGGGGTCATGATCATAGTTGTATTTGTTACGTCGAATATTACAGTGGATGATGTACTAGTTTCAGTAGTTATATCTGTTGTTATTCTGGTGGTGGTAGTGATGGTAGTGGTCGTCGTTGTAGTAGTAGTTGTAGTAGTAGTTGTAGTAGTGGTGAGAGCTGAACAATTAATGAACATTAATTCATAGTCACATTTATCATCAACACCTTTCAATAACAAATCCCTCGTTGTGTGTCTTGCGTTACTCGAATGTTTTCCCAATACTTCTTCAGTATAATTTTGAATACATGTAGGTGTTAGTCTTAAATAATTATTGTCATCTAAATATTTCGCTGCAGGATGATTGGGAAATATTGTATATTTAAAATAATCATGATTACGATACAAATAATAAATTGTACATGAACATGGATGTTGACGTGGTAAATGAAATAGTGTACGATTAAATTTTGATAATATACAGAATGCAACATCACCTAAATCAAAACTAAAACAAGAAAAAAACGTTTGTTCATGAATTTTAAATATGTAGATGTTCACCTACTTTGTATTCAATAGATTGATAACATGTACACTAGCCAAGTTATAAATCCAATGAAAACTAGTTTTAATTATATCTACTAATTGTATACCTTCTAAACTTATTTCTCTCAACGATGTTAAATGTGAAAATGTGTCAATATCGATGTATTCCAATGGATTATAGGATAAACGTAAAATATGAAGTTGTTTTAAACCATTGAATGTATTATTGTTTAATAAGTGAATATTGTTGTATGATAATTCTAATTCAATTAAATTAGATAAATTTAAAAAATAAGGTATATCATCATTGGCAGTAAAATCAATGAAATTTTTTTCCAATGATAAATTTTTCAATAATGACAAATCAGCAAATGTTTGTTGACTAATTGTTTTGATATGATTATTAACTAACGTTAAACGACCATGAAAATATCGTAAATGTTTAAAACAATTGTCTTTTAGTTCAGTAATATTATTATTTAATAATTCAATTTCATATGTTTGAGTATAATCAATATTAGTCGGAAAATAATCAGATGTCAACGAAGTATGAATACTTTGAATTATTCTATAAATATCTATTGTTAATTTTAAATCTAATACAGTTATATTAATCATAACTGTTTCTTCTGGTAATGAAATTATATTATTTGTCTTCATATTTTCATTTATTGTATCATTTAATAGTACATTTCTTTTAGAATTTTTTAATTTTTTTCTCTCGATTGACGATAAATTTACTTTTGGAATGTACGAAATATCTGAGACTGTAGTTGTATCAAATATTATTTGTTCATTATCAATCGATGATTGATTAAATACTTCTAAATACAACAAAAAAATTCATTACAAAACAGGTCGCTTTTCATTAGTAGTATGAATCAATGGAACATAGACATGCATCAGTTATGTCACTAACATCAGAGCATTTAAGAAACCTGGTCTAGCACGGTTAGTAAGAATTATTTCAAACTGTGGAACGTCTCATTTTATAGAGAAATGTTTGCTCTATGTAGTCGTTGGAAGAGAAAAAGTTTCAACTCAATTGTGATACAAATACGAGCAATCTAGAACACTATAACGGCACATGATAACTGATCACCAGCGAGTTATAGAACTGTTCGTGTCTCTCTGCTGTAATGGGTTAAAAAGACTTTTTCTTTTTATCCTTTCGTTTTTTGTTCGATACAGATGGATAGAGTAAACATCTCCCTGCAAAATGAGATATTTTGCAAGTCGAATCGATTCTTAATAACCGCGCTACGATAATCTTCCTAGATGTCTTAAAAAACAGTCAGAAATAACTGGCCCATAACTAGATGCATACTGAATTCAATATAAAGTTGTATGTACCCACCTGTTGGTTGTATCATTGAAGATGTTGTTGATTTTGATGCTGTTGTTGTTTGATAATATTGTTGTTGTTGTTGTTGTACATTATTTGCAAAACCATAAAATTTACTTGATTGTATTAGAAATGTTTGAAATTTTGCACCTGCAAAAAATGTTTCTGGTATACGTTGAACAAAATCAATTTGTTTAAAATAAATATTTGTTGTTGTTGAACCACGAAATGATGGTGATTCACTAAATATAATTTGACCATATGTATTAAATCTTGAAAATGTTAATTGACCTATTGCTGAATTTGTAAATACATCATCGAATATACGCAAATATTGAGTATTAAAACGTAAACTACGAGCTTTTAAATTATTGAATATATAGGAATGTAACGTTAAATTATCACTATCAAATGATAAACGATCATATTGAACAATTGACCATACATATTTTGATGTTACATTTGTTAATGCTTTACATTTCATACGTGTCTCATTGCTACTTTCTTGTATAAATGTGTTACTACGAAGTTTTTGACATTGACATTCTTTTGGTAATAGAGTTAATTCACATGCATTCTTTGTTATAGTTAGTGTTTTAACAATTGGTAATAGACAACTAATCGAACACAACCAAATTGGAATAATCGATATCGGGTAAAGTGATTTTAGTACAATTTTCAAAAGAAGAACAAGAGAATGAGACCTAAAATGGAGAATAATAAAGGGTAGGTACAAACGTTTTTGTTTCATACAAAAACGATATTAGAAAACGTAATAGTAATCATTTACATGATCATATTCCCTTTTTGAAAATTATGTTTATTACTTATATTAAAATGTCAAAACAGAATCTTTTTTATGTCAAATATCAATAAGATCATATTTGTAACTATTTCGTTTACTATTTAAAAGAGTTTGGAGAAGACAAATTATTACTGATCTTACCTGAACATCTCTTTTACTCTTTTTATCATACAATCACGTATCTATGGTAAGTAATTGGACACATTTGTTTAGATTATATGATGTTCAAAATAAATGAGTCAATAACCGCAGTAACAGAAATAATTTTCTATTGATTCATTATCAATCATACATATATGGAATACTTTATTCTTCTTCTATTCTTATTATTGTGTATCATTTATTCATTCATTTACAGAGTTGACGATTGACAAAAATTAGTATAAAACATCTGTAATGGAGGTCTGGCTTTTTTCATGTTTTATTATTACAGGAACAGAACTTATAGCACTTTACATTGGAACGTTTTTGTTGAAATAAATTTACCGTGAACCATTCTACAATATATATATATATATATTTCTTTTTTTCTTCTGTTGTTGTAATAATCACATTTCCGTAACGATTATTTCGAATGAACAATAGGTTAACAATAATATTTATTAAAACTATAAACTATAGAAAAATTTTGAATTAATTTAATAAGATAATGGTTTATCGAATGTATGCTGCTAAGAGGTAAGTAAGTGTACAATTATCAAAGTTTTAGATTTGTTGATCATAGATTTCACTTTCAAAAGATGATTAACTATATATTTAACACTAATGATTTTATAAAATTTAGAATACAAACTTTATAGTTAGTACAATTAACTTGGTTATTTAGCGAATTAATCTGACGTTATTAGTCAAATATTATTAGTAATAGTGACTAAATGTGACGTTTATTCAAATACCTTATGTGAATGAACTTAATATTTATATTCTATTTATAAAATCAAAATATTTGCGTAAATTTTAAGAATGAACCTATCTATGTACTCTGTGATTCTACATGAAGCTAGTTTCTGCTTCAAAATTTGAGAGAAAAAGGATATATTAGAACGACAAGATTTCATTAAATATAATCGTAGAATAAACTAATCGTTCATCTTGTAGAAGAGTTACACTAATAAAATCAAGAATTATGAAAGATAAATATTTTAAGTCATTTTTCTAGAAGACACGTGTTTTACTCGCTTAGATCTTTTAATAAAGCAATAGTCAATAGTCACTTGTACTCATAAGACAACATTGAGCCTGAATAATTTTTGATATACTTACATCTAATAAATTAATTATGTTTTTTGTCGATATATCACTATTATTCAATAATTAGTTGCACGAATTTGTACAACTTTATCTTACTTACGACGTTAATGATGATCAATGTTGACATCAATAACAAAAAAGAAAACCAATCTTCGTATTACTAAATTTGTTTATTACTGTTGCTGTTGTTGTTGTTGTTTTAGTTATTGTTTAGCGATGCGAAGGTAAGAAATTGTATGTGTAAATACCGAGGATTTTTTCTCTGAAGAGTAATAATATTGTCTTAACATACTAATGTAATAAAACATATTCTTTTCTTCTCATGTTTTCTTCTCTTTGTTCTCTGTTCTTCTTCTTTTTCCTCCTCTTTCTCTTATTTGGCTAATTATAGAAAACACAGTGGTATAGCGAAGACGATTGTTCAGTATTGGCATCTCCCTTCTGTACATGGTTGAACTGGTACCACGTCACACAGATATTAATCATAATAAAAAAAAAATTTCTCATGAAAAGAAATTGACTATGTATAATTGGTTATTATTATTATCATCTTGAAACGATTATGTGTCTATTAAGGACAATGAACAGCATCATATCGTCTTCCGATTTCTCTTCCGAAAAAAAACATAACAACAAAAGAGCAAACGATGAATGTTAAATGAACATCGTTGTTCTGCTTTTTAATCTATTATCAATTGAACAAAAAGGCTGGCCATTGTAGTGAGGATAAAATTTTTTTATTATGATAAATGATCATGCAACGATTTTTATTGATGACACATCAACATATAAACTAAGATAGGTTTCAGATGGAACAAAAATTATATTCTAATCTTTTGTTTTCTTCTCTTATCTATATCGTAGAGAAAATAGACATTAAATGTTTTTGAAATTAATCAGTGATCAATGAGTCAAATTTGTTTTCAATTCAGGATTGTTGTGAGTTAAAAACATTACAAAACGAAAGTTATGAATATTATTCAAATTATACGGATGATTTCTCTCAAAATTCTATATTTTGTCGTATATAAAAGTTAAAATTTTTTGAAAATATTCATATTTATTAAAATAACTGAAATAAAATCAGTATAGATATATATTAAATTGAAAAATTTATATCTAAAATTCATTGATAGTATCTACGTCTTAATTGTATTCCCCATAGTTTATAATTCCATATAATTGGACTATCTATAAAAAAAAAAAGTCTATTGTATGATATTGGGAAAATAAATAGACAAGAACATGTGTCTTATATGGTTCGATATTGCACTATTTCTCTTTGTCTTTCTTTCTTTACCCATATATATATATATATAGATTAACCATTAAAAGCACATTGATTGATGTGTCGCGCAAGACAGAATCACATTAACTTCTAATTTAATAATCAGAAGAATCAGCGTGGGCACTACAGAACAAGAAAATGTTCAGTTTTTGAGAATAAGACGATTATTATTATGAAAAATAACAAATTCTAAGATCATTGTACATTTGAAATTTAGATATTTTTACCTTCTTTTCTTTGTAAATATTTCAGATTATTCAGAAAAATATATATCTAAAATATTTTTGATAGTAACAGTGCATAGCTAAATAAAAATAATAGACTTAATCTAGAAGAGATCTCTGATATTTTGTTTTGTTTAAGAATCCTGTTCTCCACGTGCCACGGTTATGTACTTATTATACAATAATGACTTCATAAACATGTCAAAGCGTAGAACAAAGAGAAGAAAAAAAAGCGAAGATTAAATAAATGGTGACAATTCTGCATGATATTACATTTGGGATTTTCTATATTCTGAAAGGACAAGAGAAAATAAACTTTTTGTGTAAAAGAGATCAGAGAATAATTGACCTTGTTCATCATTTTTTTCTCTTTTTTTTGTCTCAGGATTATGTAATTAGCTATCCAGAATGGTCATAATAATGTTATAATAGTTTAATAAAAATAATATAATTTCAACTTTGTACGTGTAGTGTACATATTGCATAATAAATCATTGTCTTCATACAATATGAAATACTAATAAACTTTTGTTTCTATTCGTTATTTCTCTTCTTAAATATTGTAAATTGTTCGACATAGTATTACAACGTGTTACGTCACTCACTAAATTAGAAGTTCTACTTCAACAATGCTATTGTACAGCGGCACTTAAGAGCGCTTTAAAAAAGAAAACGGTCGATTTGTCTAATTATTGCTCATTTATTCGATAAGATAGTTTTTTCTAGCTTATCTTCCAAATTCACATCATTCAATTCGTCGTCGACGCATACTGGTACGAATACCTGTCGATGTCGAGTACCTGATGCAACTAATACTCGTCCCATCTCAAGCAAAATCATTCAAAAATTATAAAATCACCTAAGTTTCCACCTACAACACAGTGGGGAACAACGTAGACATTGGTAAAAAATCGAAAGTGACATTTTTGAAAATTCGAATAGTGGACCATATGCAACACTCAACGGCGAACAATTTTGTCGAAGACCGTTTGGTCCTATCTTATATTCTCCTCGAGAAAGGGAAGTCGCAAGATTTTGCCTGTTTTTGCGAGATGCGTTATTTTTTCTAAGCAGTAGAGTTTTGAAAAACTTAAGTTTAATAGATTATGAAAGCTAAATATCTAAGCTTTCGATTAATAAAAAAAATTTTTCGTTTAAGTCATTTTTCTAAGGAAAAAATTATCGAAACAATTTTCGCATGCACGTGCACGAGAGAAATGTTCAGTATAGTAAGCGCGCTAATTTTAGCTAAAGTCCGTTCAAGATGAAACTTTCAGCATATGTTCTCCAACATGTGACGCGTCGATGTATATATGCCCAAAGATGCCCAAACTTCAGGGTCCGGAGTTATAAGGATTTCAAATTCGTAAGGTTTTTGAAAGGTTTTTTTCGGTTTTTTCGTGTTTTTCGGCACTTCATCTCAAAAGTAAGGACATATTTGAAACCAGCGCGCGAAACTGTATCGATCTGTATATCTTTTAAGATCAAAAGTCTGTGACGTAGGAACTGTCCGCCTTACCATCAGGGCCGGCACTCCTCGCTCAGACATAGACGGGTTTTGATTGGAGTTACCGAAGAAGTTATTTAAAGTGACAAAGTCTCCACAGCAAATCTCCCCAAGTGCTGGAACAGTTGAAGCTGTGAACGGTGTTTGACCGGTAAAAACTACACTTCAAAGACTTCTAACAGAAAGAAGAGAGAGAGACCGTTCCTCGACCTAACACTGTTCTAGAACTTGGAGAGATTTGCTGTCAGTGACTCGTCCAGTTTTTTTCTGGATGAGGGGTGCTGGTGGCACTGTCAGGAGAGTTGTGCGACGTTATTTACGCTGTAAGACCTTTTTTAACCTTTTACTTGAGGGAGAATGCTGTTTTCTAGAGGCCAGGTCTTTCCAAAAACGTTCTCAAAGTGTTGGCGAGGTCTGAAAATATCGTAATCGGACTCAGCGTACTCGAAAACCTATGAAACTTTAAAAAAAGTAATATTTGTCACCTTAAAACCTTCAAAACCCTCAAGATTCTCTAGAAAATCAATTTTCTGAGCACTATATCGGCTGAAAAAGTGTTCCAGAGGAAAGAGGACATGCGAAAACCTATGAATCTGATGTTTTGAGTGAAATAGATCAGTTTAAAACCAAATTTCCACGTGCCTACTGAAAATTCCCCACTGTGTACAAGCGCTAGACCGTTCTCCATAAGCTCCACATCAGTAAGAATAATAAAAAATGAAACATTTGATATTTGGCTCACAATGAGAAAGTACATTAAAGCAGACAACTTTTCATTTCTTTTTGCTATATTAATCAAGGTAACAACAGCACAGTCATATCATGAGACTTAGACGATTGATGTAGCTAGCCGGGGGTAGGAACCAATGACCTTTTTGTTGAGGTCATCAATAATGTACAATCAGAATCAGTGACGGATATGTGTGGAAAAACATTCATTAGCGTCTCTCATTGCTCTCCGTAATCTTGTTTCACTTAGCAGTTTGCGTCGTATACAAGTAATCGTATTATTGCCAACAGTGCGTGAAAGTGTAATGATGAGAGATTTTAGGTTGTAATAATACCTGGTGATTAACGTCCATGACATCACTTACTGCATATTATTTTGATTCAATCACAATAGTGTCGTTACAACGCAAGATATCAAACCGATAGATCCCTTTATTGCCCATCAAGTGATAGTAACGCAAACACAGACTGTCTGATGTCCTTCCACCATCCAGGTGAAAATCAAGTCTGTAAGATCACCACTCGTCTTCAATACGCAGTTCATAGCTAATGGTATCATACTGGGCCAAATATGTATAGTTAGTTAGTTTCCCCTTTAACACATTATTTTTCTGCAGTTGAGAACATTGATGTTTTCCTCACATAATTCAAGATGAATCAATAAAAACGAAGAAATGTGCTGGATAGAATAGATATAAACGATACAATGCTCAACTTGACTATCGTTCCAAACTCCTTTCTCTCTGTTCATCAACAAGTACACTAACAACGAACATCCGCAATATGACTTTTCACATCCTCTACTCTAAACATGCAAACTATTCCTCATGTTTTATAGAAACAGTTGTTAATTTTGATTATTCAGCAAGCAAAAATATGAGTAATATAACAAGTCTCTTAAATAAAGAACAAACTTTTGTTTCTAAGCTAACTTAGACAACAGCAATAATCTGCAGTTCATTACTCTTTGAGATCAATATTTCAATAAAAAGTTTTAGAAGAAAATAAGTTTGAATGATCGTTTTATTTAATACAATATTCTGAAAAGGAGAATTTTCTTCTTACAATTGTTTCTGAAAAGGAGGAAGTATTTGAGTCACAAGGGTATTGTTTCCTTTATTTCTACAACCACCATTCAGAATCAGACGTTATTTAGATCTTCGCTTCATGATGAAAATTTTCTTTTTGCTATTTCCATTGTGAAAGTATTGTTTTATATATTTGTTTGGTTTTAAAGTACCTATCTTCGTAAACATCTTGATAATATACATAAAATGGTTAATTAGCTTTCTCTGAAACATAAAAATTACATTTTATAGACTAAATCCAATAACAATACACAGAAGGAAAGAGCTCAGTGATGCAACAGCAAATTGTATAATACACGATTCATTAAGTTCAGGTGATTTTCGCCGAGAAGAATGCAATAATTTTAGAATGTAGTGTTATGAGGCTAAACTTGTCCCTAACATTGTTTCACAAAATTAGATGCTGATTATTGAATATAATTACGTTTAGCAACAACCAGTTATATTTTATTAACAACAGATGTATGGAAAAACTATCGTTAAATGTATTTTATTTCCGTAATTGGATGACTTTAATAAGAATTTTCGTTTGTTGTAAATGCTTACAAAGAAAAAGTTGTATATCTACGAAAAATTTACCTAAAAGTCCGATCTCGAGCAAACTTTCATGGAATGTTGACCACATTGGAGTATTGGGGATGAAATTCTTTTTTTGCCTTCTTGGCTTTCGTTCATTCGCTAGATGTCACCACAACAAGGAGGATCTAGTTGGAACTTTTCATAATTGTAAATAAGTTTGATTAAGCATCACTCAGAGCTAGATGTAGATCCTGTTAGTAGACATCGAGGGTTATTTGATGATGCGCTCAGATCGATATCGCTTTTTCATAAAAATTTCGTATTTCTGCTTAAGAATGGGAGAAGGGGAAAGACATGGTATACTCAATAAAACTGTAGCGTCTTCCCATCAATTTTATTCGAATACGGACTCTAACATATAAATTCGATAAATCACAAAATTAAATTCACTGGTCATGGTCTGTATATTGCACCAAATATTCATTTATAGACAAAAAAAAATTGCTCACTATCCTCACAACGACATCGAAAAAAAACGACTTGATTTTCTGAGATTCTTTCTATTCAGTCTGTTTCAAGACGAGATATGCATGACTAAGGCTATTTGGTCATAGTAACAAACATGAGGAAATTTTTCCAAAACTCACGATGATCACAAATTTTGTGATTCATTGTACCTGAAGAAGTACTAGTTAACTGTTAGTATTCAGTCAACAAAGCAACTAGACTGCCGATGAGCTATATACACTACAAGTCCTTTAGAAGCTTGAGATCAGTTATTTTTTCAATGGTCATGCACATCTCTAGTTCTAAGCTTATTTCATTTAAGATATTTAACATTGTGAAATATTGACTATTTTTTTCTTTAAACTTTAGACATTTCTCTGTGTCTGTCAAGAGATCGATTGAATCTCAAATGTTGGATGTATTTTTTACTTTTAATATATAAAATTAGAGAAATTAGAACGATCAAATTTTCAACAAAAAGACTCAAAACAAAACGAAATCACTTTTCATTTTTAACAGATTTATTATTTTCAATATGTTTCACGAATGTTTCAGCTACAACTAAAGGAAATATGAAACTAGCATCACCAAACACTTTCACTGGTTCTGCTGTTGTACGTATTTTTCCCCAAGATACTGCTTCGTCTGGTGCGGCACCTAAATAAAAAATTGAATTAATAGAATATTAAACAGAATTATGATTTCAACAAACAAACCTGAATCTGATCCATCATATTCCATTCCTGTATTAATATAAACAGAATAATCTGCACCATTTCTCATTAAATTTGCATTACAAATATGATGTTTCACTACACCACCACCCAAAATAATCATGCCCGTATATTTTGCGTGTACAGCTAAATTATTGATAGTTTTTAAATCTTCTAATATATCAATTTTTAAACCATGTTTACGATATGAATGAAAATAGAGCATATCACCTAATGAACCATCAGTTATAGCCGGACAAAAAACAGGTATCTGATTTTTTGATGCCCAATAATAAACAGAATTTGTATTATTTACTTCTCGACCAAGACGTTCAATTAATTTTGATGGTGTCCAATTAATATTTAAATTTAGTTGTTCATCAACCAATTGATCTAATATGGGCATTAGCCAATCTTCGAATAAACAATAATTAGTATTTGGTACTAATAAATTACCTAGAATAAATAAATAATAAAATAATGAGATTTTAAATATTTTAATTAATTGTAGTTTCTTACCTAATCGATTAATTCCATTTTTTCTTAATTCTTTTCCATTCAAATGAAAATCTCCAACATATGTTGCTGCTAAACACTTAATAAAATCTTCTTCTATTCCTCCAGCTGTTGTTACAATACAATCTACTAATTTATGTTCAACTAAATAACGTATTGTTTCACGACATCCACAACTAATCATATTACTTGTGTAACCCAAAAATAGGGAAAATTGATCTGTTGTACGTTTCAATATCATTTCATTTATTTGTTCAATAGCCAATCCAATATTTGTTGCTTGAAATCCAGTTGTTTTGAATGATTTTAATAGTTTATGATAATCCAAACCATTATTAAAATCATAACCACAAACAATATTACTAGGACACATCAAATCTATTGGATTACTTGGTTTTAATGCTGCTTCCAGAGCAATTGAAGGTGCAGACATTTGATTTTCTCCGTTATTCATAGTACAATTAGAATTACTGTTATCGACTTCTGACATTTGTGAAATAATAAGAAGATTCTTTATATAAGTATCTAAAAGAATCTTACACAATTGGTAGTTTATGTTTCGCAATTACTTGCGAAAGTACATGTAATATCAATTTTTGTCAAATTTCGGAATTAAAATGGAGAAAATTTATATTCAGAATCAACGATTTTTTCCAAATTACTTGTAATAGTTTTAGATACTAGTATACTCTATAAAATTGACAACAATAAACAGGATAAAGTCTCAGTTTTGGAGTCGTATTAATGACCTTTAGCCTACAAAAATAACCGTCCTACAAAGAAACTTAATTTATATTAAAATCTAAGCTTGAAAATCTCAGTAAGTGAACATGTTTTTTATTTCACAAGCTCAAATTTCTTCTTCATCTTGAATACTTAAATATATTTCTGGCAAATGAACAAAACTGTTCTTATTATATTTTTCAAAAATCTTTTTTCTTTAATTAAACTGAACAACTTTTTGTTCTGAAGGTAAAATATGTTTGAGTGAACAAATTATATTAATTTTAGTTTACCAATAAGACTTCTCTCTCTTGTTTACTCGAACATCAGACAAATACTTTATTGTTTTTTTCTCTCAGCACACGCACATTCTTTTTATTTTTTTTACAATAGTAGAAAAAAAATATTAAAATTATTTAACTGTACAGGTATTTAAATAAAAAATTAACAGAAATAGTCAATAATAACACAAAACAAATTAAGAGTTAATAAAAATTAACTATCAAAAATATTGATAGTAAAAACATAAATCTAGTAATATTTTTGTGTGCACAATGGTGGCGACATCGGTGGCAATGTCCATTGTTACATTTGTATCGAATTTGATTGAAGCATTTGTTGATAGAGAGTCAACGGTGGTGGTAGAAAAAGCATTAGTGATGGATGAATTGGTGCTAAATTAGACAAATATGGAATAGGAGGTGGTGGCATTGATGTAGAAAGAGTATTGTGTGGTAGTGCATTTGTAGTAGAGAAATTGTATGCGGCAATAGTTGCAGCAAATGGACTTTGAGTAATAGCTGGTGTTAAACTGCTAGGATTTACAATCCGAGTTGAAGATAATGACATTGAACTAGACTGAGTCAGTATTTTTGAACTACCTGCAGGGAGTACTGATGACTGTTGCTGTGTGATGATTTGAAGATCGAGATATAGAAGAAGACGTTACTTGATTATCAACAGAATGTATTTTAAACCAATTTAACATTTCATTGAGTGATAAATAAACATTATTTCGAAATCTAATACCCGTCAGTTGAATAGTAAAATATTCATGAATTGATTTACGTGTTGACATATAAGATAATAAAACTTTTGTTGGAATCGAATACGTATTGGATTACGACATTTATCATCACATAAATTATTTAAAATTTTAATTGACTCATGGGAATTGGGTGGTGATATTTGTGTTGTCAGTGTTGAAGTTGGTGGTTGTGTGCGATAAATTACGATAATATTTATGACCAACGATCTCAGCGACAAGATTGACCATTGGTTTAATGTAGCGAACTAATATGTCATCTAAATCTGCGAATTCTTTTGCTTTTCAATAACGTCAATGTTGTGTAATACACTATCGATTAATTTCCATGTAATTGTTAAATGATCATTTTTCTTCAACCAGCAATTTCAATTAAATTCAATGTTTGCTAGCAAACGTTGAATTAAATCGAAATTGCTAGTTGTAACTATAAGATTCTGGAAAAGGGTGTCAGAATCAATTTATTGTTTGTAAAATTTCTCTACTGATATATTTTAACAATATGAAAATAACGGAAAAATAATTATGGTAAGTAAATTTCACTCTTCAGGCCCGTGTTACATCTGTAGTCATCGTTTTTTTTAAGAAACATTTAATATAATATAACAGCATAAATTTGTAGAACTTCTTGTTAATGTACAAAAAAAATTATATTGCAACAAAAATAAGAAAAACAATGAACACTATCGTTCTCTAAGTGCTGATTATCTATTTAATCAAGCAAACAAAGAACATGAGAATAACAAATATGAAATATCCCTATAAGTGTATGCTTTTGTGAATTGGAGAAAAAAAACCAGCAAATCTGTAAGAACTGTCTATACAATAAGCATAGAAGAAAATATAAAAATTGACAAGAAATACATAACGAATGACATGATCTCTTGAAAAATTCTTTGAATTATACAGAAAATCGATTACAACAAGACTTATAAATAAATGTGCGCGCGTACATGGTTTGTGTATGTGTGTGTGTGTCTGTGTGTGTGTGTGTGTGTGTGTGTGTGTGTGTGTATGTGTGTGCGTGTGCATGTATATTAATTTAAAAAAAACAACGAAAAATTGTTTAAAATCTTCGGTAAATAGAAATAACAATGTAATAGAAAAGTGTACAGTTCACTTTGAGTCATAAAAAAAGAATGTAAACATTTCGCATCACAAGCACATACGAATACAGAAAAGAGCGTCTTTTTAAACCGGTGTACTGCTACTAATATCAAAAGAGAGAAAGAGGCTAGGTGTTTTCTGCAAAGTTTTATTCATGGAACACCGTGCGTGTGCGAAAAGAATTGTGCATATTATTAAAAAATGTCTTGTTCATTCAGACTTGAAAAAATAATTGTTCTATGTTTGAGATCAACAAAAAGACAAAAGAAAGTTATATTTTACAAACAATGAATAAATCACTGTATACGTTGTGTGGTTCTAAAGAATAAAAAGAAAAAACAACGAACACCGGACAGTAAAGAAAAAGCGTTGAATTAAAGGACCTTGATATATATATGCTGGTGTTAGCTAGACAATGGTGATTTAATTTTTTTTCTTCAAACAGGTTAATTTTTTCTAAAATTCTAATTTTACAATCTCAATCACATTTTTACATGCATACACCCTTAGTAAAATGTTTGTCTATAAAGAACGAGTTCAGACTTGCAGTAGAATTTTATTTTATTCATACAACTCGATTTTCTGACAAGTACTAGATATTTTTTCTAGTGCAATGAACCCTATTGTCCAGCCAACTCAAGCATATATATCAAAGTTCTTAATTCAAAACTTTTCCTAACTGTCTATGTCGTTTTTTGTTCTCAAGCAAAAGAAAAAAACTAAAAGAAAACAAAAAAAAAGAAAATGCAAAAAATGTTAAACGAAAGACAAAATAATGTATTGCCACCAAATATTCAAAAAAAATAAAAATTTTATCTCATATTTTCACGCAAGTTTTATCAGTATGGGCTTTTTGTATTATATTTCACGTTTTATTGAAAGGACGGAGCTTTGGACGGCTCATGCAAAACTTTTTATTTTCTAATAGTGGAACTGAGTGTTGCTGTACCAATTGTATTTGTTGATGATAAGAATGGAAAATTTGATCGACCAGATGAACGAGTTTTAGCTGATATTGTCATACCCATGCGTACATTTTCCCCACGCTCAGAAGACGTCGACGGCTTTTGTATTTCTTCAGCTAGAGAAGAAGAAAAAAAGTATAGAACAAAGATAGATATTATATATTAGAAAATAAAGTAACAATATATTAACCCATGATTAATATTAAAGCTTGATTTGCACATTTGCATGTGAGTCGAGACTTTTTGTTATCTTAGTTCAAGCAAAAAATCTTCGCTAAACATTAACGTATTATCATGCATCTTTTCCCCCAGGCGATCTCGTGAGTCAAACCTGCAAGTCCATCAGTGTGAAACGTCGAACTGAAACATAATATGTAATGTCATCTTCACTATCTAAGAAAATATTTTCTCTAATAGTTTTTCATGTGAGTCAAAAATAATATGGACAGAAAGAACAGATTAATGTTAACGCACACAATTTCCATCAAAACAACTGTTTTTTTGTTTTTTTTAAAATTTACATACACAAAGTTTTTGTTGCATACGGACTAAATACTTTTGCCAAGAAATCTTCGTATGTTGATTCTTTTTTATGTGTACGTATAATATTGTTGATAACACGATGTCGTTCTTCATAACTGAAAAGTGGAGAGAAAAATTTAGTTTATCAAAGAGAAATAATCGATTAGAAAACAAGAGAATAAAAAAAGAAAGAGTAATGAGAAAACAAAAAGCATACAATTCACAATGATTATTCAAAGTTGTTCGTCTCGCACGACTTGCATTAATGGCTGTAACACGAACCAATTCAGCTAGTACAAATTTATCAACAATTGCACCATCGAATAATGGACCAAAATTGGTTGTCTTGAAGAAAAGAAAACAAATGTAAAGAAAAAAGATTCATGACTGAAACCTCATTCTATAAGAATAGTCTATCTCTCACACTGTAATTGTTGTAAGTACAAGGAACTTTTTTTTCTAATACTATCAATAATGTGACAAAAAAGTCTCAAGATCAAATAGTATGTTTTTTCTATCTCCTAAACTTACTTCTCTTGTTTTATTTACCTGACTAGTTTTATCAATTCTAATTCTATACAATGAATTGGGTAACGGATGTATAACAATCAATACATCTCCAAATTGACTGGCTATTATTGATCGATCGTATTCATGATAATGTTCTGTCCATATTATTTGTACTTCATCATTTCCAATATGACGTGTTTTTCGATGATGTTCATCGTTTGTATTATGAATTGAGCGCATTTTTGTTGCAACATGAAACATAATTTCAACTAATGTATCAGCATAATAAACAGAATAGGTATTTTTTAATGGATGTAAACCACCATTAAATCCCGTATGTTTCGATAATTCAACTTCCCATCCAAGATTTGACAAAAATTCTTCATAATTTGGACTACCACTTACATTATTAAATATAGCTGTTTTATCTTCTTGACCATATCCAATGTATATAACGGCTAAACAAAAATAATAATTATTATTTTATAAGAGATCGTGCAATATAACATCATTATTTTACCGATTTTATGTGTTTCACGAGAACGTAATGTGTCCAAATATTTCATTTCACGTAATAACTGAATAGAGTTTGTTTTTGATGTATTTAATAATTCAATATTATTCCTAAAAGACAAAAGAATTATCTTATATACGTAAAAAATTATTATTTTAATTAAATATTACCGATTTTCAAACAACATTAAACCAAGTTGGTTAATATGAGAACGACACAATGCGAATCGATCATTTCGTTGTTCATTTGTTGCTGTAGCTGTTGATACACTTGAAACATTCGATTGTGTACGAGTTGAATGTTGATCAATATCTTGATTATCCGTCATTTCTATTAAAGAAATAAAATCTATATTTCCATATCATACGTAAAAAGTTATTGTCTAAAATACTTTGTGAGATTTTTTGTTGATGTTTCTCCTGTACATTTTGATAATAATCTATTTCAGATGTTTCCTGTTCATTGGTCATTCGTATTATTGCTGTTTCTTCATTTCTACTTATAAGTGCCGAAGTTGGAAATACGTCTGTTAACGTTCTATCTGAGTAAAATGCTAATTCTGGACTTTGATTATAAATATATTGTAATAACTAGAACAAAAATATGAGCTTCATAAGAATTATTGATGATCATTGGTAAAGCTGAAAATTTACTTTATCTAAAATATCTGCATCTGGTGGTTGATTTTTATATGTTGGTAGATCATGTGACTCATCAATAGGAACAGTAATACCACGAGTAGTAGCTGTTGGTTCGTAAGTTGACATAGATGGTAATATTAAATCTAAGAAAAAGATAACTATATAAATTAAAAATGACAAGAAGATTAAAAGTAATTTTTTAATTTTACCCATCGTTTTGTTAAGAGATGATGATGTCATTGCTTTTGACTCATGACTAATATCCCATGCATAACTATCCCAACAATATTTTCCACACAAATCTCTTACAATTGTTCGACATATTGTCGATGTTGATGTTAGTGGACTTATTGTTTGATGATTTTCTTCATTTCCATTTGGTGTTTCATTATCTGTGATAATTGTGTTATCAGCTGGTATTTCAACAAACGATATGAGAAAATCATCATGTATGACAAATAATTGAATATTGGATGATTGAATAACTATTTCATCTCCTGTTGAACTATTCTCTGGTGCTATCGAATCTGTTTGAGTTTGTAATTGTTTTTGTTGAATATTTTTATTTGACCAATCATGTCCTTCATTAACAGAACTCGTTACGAGTGACGCATCATCATCCGATATTGGAAAATGTGAATGTTCACTTAATAGACAAATAATAGCAAATTTTGAACATAATTTAATTGATTGACTCAATGGTATTTCTTCCCTTGTCGTTGTTTCTTGTTGTTCTCTTTGTAATCTGTCACTAGCACGATAAAGGTCAATTAAAATTGAAAATGTTCGCTGTATTATTGATTGTTGATGATGTTGAATATTTTTAGTTGTTGTATTATCATTTAAATTAATATTAACAAGATAACGATGGGGTATGTGTAAAATCCAATCGAGTAAGGCAAATATTAATGATTTTATTATGCGAACATTATTGCGCAATAAAGAGCCAACATCCGATGGTATATTAAACTTTAATGTGTTTATTAGACCATCAATAATTAACATGTATAAATTACCAGAAACATTGTCGCGATGATTCGATAGTAATGAGGCATATGATGATAAAAAACGTAACATATCGGCTGCAAACATTGTTGAATCAGCACTCTAAGTAAAAAGAAAAGTGTTGAATAGAAACTATATTCAACATAGACTTCATATTCATTCTTAAAACTGTTAACATACTGATAATATATTTAAACAAAAATTCTGTATAGCTAAAACGATCTATTTCGTAGATATGCAATGACGAAATAAAATGTGATTAAAAACTAAAGCAAGCTCAATCTAAATCCAAAAATAATAATCCGTATTAGCCTCCAAAAAAAAAAAGCTTAATCATGTCTATTTTATAGTCGAGCAAAAATTTTACCGATGCTAGCAAGCAAAAAGAATATATATATATTGATCAGAGTATGGGTAGGTGTTTCTCCTCTACTCACGTGATTATGTTTATCTGACGATATTGACCGTTTACTTTGACCCTTTAAATAATAAAGTTTGCTTCTATCGTTAAACTTAGTGATACTTCAAATTTATACAACTATTCTTAGCAACTAACCTGTAGACAATCCACAATAAATAACATGAACGGTTTAATCGGTGATTCTAATCGATTATGTTTTAGTTCTTCACAAATAAAAATAGCCAAACCACATAGAGCGATTTCTCTAAAAATAAAATAAACAATTACTATATAAAATAAAAGAAATATTTCTTAATAACAAACCTTGATTCTAACATTGTATCTTTTTCTGAGGCTTTAATTAAATCTCTCATTATCATACGTTTTAAATAGGTACGATCCATTGTTACAACAGAATAATTTTTTTCTTTTGGATCAAAAACATCAAGTTGTTCAAAATGATTTGGAAAACATACTAAACTGCTCAATATTGTAAGAGCTTCTATCTTTGGATTCTAGATGACAGAGAAAAATATTAGGTTAAATCAAATAAACAGTGTAAATTCAACCTTACCGTTTTTCCATCGACAATTGATGCTTGCTGACCAATTTGACAGCAAGCATCTGTAAACAATGGTAATAGTAATGTCGAAGATGGCCAGCAACGATGAAATAAATCCGCTTTACATGAACTAATTATTGCATTGATAATATCCTAAAATTACAAACAGCATTTTTTTAAACTAAAATAGAGTTGAATAACGTCCAAAACGAACCTGATCACCAGAATTTAATCCTTGATATAATGTCAATAAAAACATGTCAAGAAATTCTGCAGATGGTGGTTCATCATGATTATAAACGCCTATTGAACATAAAAGTTTATAAGCAGATAACTTTCCTTCACGATGACTTATGGGTAATGTTTGAATGGCCTATAATGTATCATCAACGTTAATAAGATAAGTATCAGCATGAGTTAAATACAAACCTCATAGAGCCATGGAGCAAATATCAATAATGGTGGTCCATCAAAATAAATATCACCTTGCTCAACTTCTTTCGATCCTTCATGTATCTAAAAAAAGTGTATAGAAACAATAAAACTAATCAATTCTTTCATTCATATTACGTACTCTACAAAGCATTTTCCATATTTCATTTAACGTTTTTATGATACGATTGTGTTGTTCCGAAGATTGTATGTGATTTATATTGCCTAATGATCCTAGCATGCGAAACCAAGAGGTATACGCTGTTTTTGGTTCTAATCGAATTTGTAGAATATTGTTTACATTCACAGCTGTATTTGTACTGCCTATTGTCGTTGCATCTTGTGGAACTAAAACAAATGCAGTACGTTGAAGATCTGAAAAGCATTAATAAATAAACAATTTTTTGCTTACAAGATTGAAGACTGTCCACTGTTGAATGACTAACTGGATGCTGTTTCGTCAGTGGTAACATATGTTGATCTAATAAATTTGTTTCTGATAGTGTATTTGAATGAGACCTTGAATCTATATGTAGTGTACGACCTGAAAATTAGAAAAACAAAAACTGAATCCTTCTTTATTGCAAAAAAAGTTTTAGTATATATGTATCTCTGTGATGTTTCTTTCTTGTACTGAGAATAGTATCAGTCAACTGTAAGCTAGTAAAAAAGCAAATTGATCTATAGGAAAACTAAACGGATAACTACAATAATAAAAATTCATTCGTCATACAATAGAATCAATGACATTTAGTTTTGAATGGAAAAGTTGTATTTCATCAATATTTAGTCCGTTCATTAAACCACTGAAGAGACGATGAAAAGAGAAGAAAAGAGCATAAATAAAAAGCGTCTTTGGGTTTCCAAGATTTTATAAATAGTCTGTTACTATTTTAAATTGTTAGTTCTATAGTAAAGATGACCGGCGGTTAATATGGAATAGGGAGGAAAAAAGAATAAATGGTTAATTAATAAAGCAAGCAAAATTAGGAAGTATTAATACACTATTTTGGTTATATCGATCAATGAACCCAAATGAAATGTATAAATCATGCCTATGAATAATGTTATTCGAATTTTGTTGGTTTTATCGACATGTGTTTCGTTTTACTATTGATTGTTTCTTCTACCCGCTTAGCATTTGACTGATCATGTTGTACGCAGAACAGTGAAACGTCACATCAATACATATACTAAATATATTAACGAGAAAGTGGTATTTTGTTTTTCTCTCAATATTAAGATATTTTATCATAAAAATGCTGGTGTTTAACCTAGTTTGTCTATGAAAACAAAATTCAACAATAAATTAACTCACTTTTTGTACTAAGACTAGAGCCATCAGCTAATCCACTTGATATTGAATTATCAGCGGCTCCTTGTAAACTTCCTATACTATTCGTTTCACCAACACTAATAGTGTTATTTACTCCAAAATCATCGCTTAAACCTTCACTCATTGGCGAATCAAGGGCATGAATATCGTTTGTTGAACTTGCTAAATAAATTTTTGTACACTGAATAAAACAAATTTCCAAGTATAAAGAATAGTTAAAGCGTACGTGAGTCTTTTGCTATTTGTATGGATAAATTTGATCTTTTATCATTAAACTGTTGTGATAAATCAGATATTGGATTAAAATTTTCGTCTGGACTAAAATGAATCGGTTGTTCTAAGTTTTCTTCAACATGATTACTAACGATTGTCGACAATATTGGCTAGAAACAAATATTTTTTCTTTCAGTTTATCTTTTGAATTATTAAAATTTCTTTTCACTTACTCGATTTGGTTGAAACGGATGTGATAAACTATCGTCGCTATTTGTTCGTATTCGTGTATTTGTTATTGTTGTTCGCACTGTTCTTGGTTCGCCAAAATCTGAATCATCATCTAAACTCAATGTTCTTGCACGTCTGTTTCGACTTTCAATAGAAGATGTTTCTCGCTGGCCATGTTCTGAAAACAAAAAAATTGAACGTAAAAGTTAACAGTAATCAAAAACATTTTACCTTGAGCACCGGTTTGCGTAAATTTTTTTATTCCTTTCCGAATTGTTGTCATTGTGTTTGTTGTTGGTACTTCAGTTTCGACATTATAAACAAGTTTTCCGAGATCTTTTGTTAAACTTCTCATAGTTAACTAAAAATAAAAATAAATTTTATATCTGAATAAATATACTTTTTCAACATTACTCACATCCCACTGTTCAATCACTTCTGGCCATGCCGCTTTTGATGATAACGTATCACTTAAATTATTCCATAGTTCAACACTAACATCGAGTGAAACCGAATGAAATAAATAAAGCAACGTCTAAAACAAAAAATGACGTATTTTATGTGTTAATTATGATTAAATCTATCATACTTTAATTGTATTTTCCACATGGGAATGATTATAAGTAGGCGGCGGTTTATCTTGTAATGATACTCGAACTATTCTGAGCATAACTTGTAACATCAAATCCCTATTAAATACAGATAGATGTAAAAGAAAAACTAATATTCTATGATCAATATTCAACAATTCTTTTTACCATGTTGTTCGATCTAGCATGTGTCTAGATGGTAATTTTCTATAAAATGTCACAAGTCCAGCTAGTGATCGATCGCGCTGTAATTGTTCTTGTTGATAACCTGTTGTCATTTGTTGATCGTCGATTGTACCAGGACGCACAAGAAACATATAAAAAGATTGTGTCATAAATATTTGTAACCAACGATTTAGACCCAAACGTAAATTATTATTTATGATATTATCGTTATTTGTCGTTATTGTTGTGGATGATGCTGATAGACGTCTATTATGATCGTCAGGTTCAAGCATAAATATAGGACAAGATTGTTTATCTTTAATCCAGTTATTTACAGAACGTAGTATATAAGAGGCCGCTAAGCCATTTTCGCCCGACATCAAATAACTCTATAAGAAGAGTGAAACATAAACTACATTTATATTATATTCTATTGTTTTTACCTGACGAAAAATTTCATGAATAAAATTTATATATTCCTTTTTGGATAATAAAACATTCTGACCTATTTCTAACATGATCGGATCAAGTGGCTGTTGTAACGACATGAAAACGTTTCGTGGATTTGTAATTATATTATAAAGTTCATTATAAGATGGCGATACGGGATCGTTCATTGGCATATTTCCACTTGTAGATATACTCGCATTACTTGGAAGAGAGGTCAAGTTTTGTGATTGCATAAAAGAACCCGTTAAAGGATGCAATTGTTGCGGAGATGTAATCGTTGGTACACGCGTTAAAGTTCTGTCCCGACTTTGTACATCATTTATAAACGGTAGTAACCACATGACATAGGCTGTACGAGACAGACAGCCCTGTTTACGACGACGATCCATATCGATCTTATTTACATCTGGTATGATGACTAAAATTATATGAAAAAAATTTGTTTAACTTCAGTTGAGTTCTTGAAATGTAACTATCGGCGTTTGCATACTATAATAGATAGATATCTCTAAGTTTTGCAAAATAACCTTTGACTTTTTAGAAGACAGGAACACTTGCTATATGTAGATAGAGAAATACTTTAGCATACTTGGAATACTTGAATCATAAACATTATTTTCATATAAAAATGTTGGAAATAACGCTGGTAAATAATATTTATTGAACATATTGAATAAAAATAGAAAACAATGTTCTTGTTTATCCATACGATCAGAATTTTGATCAGGTTCCCATAGTATACGTTTACACTAGAAGGAAAAAGTCGTGTTAAATATCTCTTTTGTTTCTTACCAAGTTCTCATTTAAACTTACCGTGTCGGACATTGTATGTAACATATAAAATAACCAACGATCAACACTTGGTTCATGTTCATTTGCGTTTTTTGGCCATATCGGTACAATATCGACCCAACGGAAATAATCTGAATAAAATAAAGGAAATCTGACCAATTTAGATCGATAGATTTTACTATCAGATATATTTTCGATCAGCAAATGGAAAAGTATTAGGTATCTCTTTAAAAATATCTTGTATCCGTAACAGCATAAACAGATATTTTATCAACCGTAATGTAAACACAATATAAATTCTAGATTATACTTACCAGGAGCCGTTTTAAATCGTTCCTTTTCAACTTCATCGCATAAATCTACTTTATCACTATTCGATTTTATTGTTCCTGAACTATTACTTGTGCCCAATGCTTGATTCCAATTTCGTATTAAATTTTTGAATAATAAATGTTCATCATCAATCGCATTTTCACCCAGTATTTGGTACCATAGTATAAACAAGCGAATGCCACGTGCAACGCCCTTGAAAAAAAAAAGAAAAAATGATAAAATAATATCACAGATGGCATAGAAATTCATACCTGAGGACTATTACAAACAACAAAATATTTTTTAATTATATTACATATGCAATGAGCTTGCCATCGTTGATGAACCAAACCTGGTAGAAGTGTTAAAATACGCTAGAATTCAAAAAAATAAGAAAATATTTAATCTAAAGATTTCCACGTCACAAAGCGTTACAGAATTAGTTTAATCTACCAGAAGCAGCCACATTTACAAAATCAAAATCCTCCTCGCATAAGTCGCGGATGTTAACATCAGACAAAGAAAAGTTTATCCCTTGTCAATTTGAGATCAGATTATTAACTAAATAACTCGTTTGTTTATTTCTACCTCAAGTAAATTCGTCACATAATCAAGTTCAATTTGATTCTGCTTGGAAACTAGAATAGATGAAAAACTAGTAAAGTATATATACTTTTTCCTTTCTCACTTTAATTTCACTCACATGTTCTTGTTATACTGTTTTCAACTTGACTAAAATTTTCGAAAAACAAATGGAATACATGTTGATAGGCTTGTCTGAAAAATGATTGTAGTTCATCAGTTGGCAATTGCTCTAAAGTAGAAAACATAAATAAAATATACTCTATAAAAACTTAAGCTATATTACCATATAATAGTTTTAAATATCTTTGTCGATCGTTTAAACTTTTATTAACATCGATAACTTTTTCTTTTGTTTTTTGATTTTCATCGACTTTGTTCTGTCGTCTCCCGAACATTCAAATTAAAACGTTCTCAATGTTATATACAAATAAATAGCACAAATAAAATCACTAACCATACTGAAAAACTAATTTATCTAAAACGGACGAACGAACGAAAGATTAATAATGCGATGCTATTGGACATTTTCACTGTTTACTGCACCAGCAAACATTTGTAATATAGAACTTTAAGCCATAATTGGGCGTGAATGATACGTAGGGATCTACATTAGTGTTTTTAATGACATGGCGGACAATCGGACTTCTCAATGCAAACCACCATGGAAAACTAAATTTAACCGTGGTTCTCATCGTGACTTTTAAGTTTCCTTCCACTGCTATGGTGGAAGTTTCCGCTGTGATGGAAATTTCTGTTTAAAGCACTGATCTAGATGTTGTAAAAATCTGTAGGATAAAAGAAATCTCATATTCAAAAATTTCGCAAAAATCATGAAAAAAGGAGAAATCCCAAGAGATCTTAGCGGAAATCGGATAAAAGTCCAAAGGAACTTCTATTTACACAAAAATTTATTGAAAGCTCCCAGGGGATTAAATAAATTTCTCTCCCTTCCACCGGAATTCCGATAAAAAATGGACCGGGAGACATTCACTATTCTACCTGCCATTCATTAACAAAAGGTTGATGTCTCGATCATCACTTGAACAAAATTATGAAATGACAAAACGCTAACTCAAAATCCCTCCTTAAAAAACAAAGAAAGTACTGCCAATGGATAAGAAAACTAGTTGAAGTCATCGAGAAGACTTTTGACTGAGGAAGAGAGCAGAAGACTAAATATCAATTATGGCATCATAATTTCGAGATATCAAAAATCATTCGATCTATCTACTGAACTTTTAGTATTATCTGAAAAAAACTAATATAGTCAAGGTTTCCGGTTGTTCTTAGGGATGGGAGGGGCTAAACATTTTGCTTCGCAGAAAGTGGCTGGTGGAAAAAAGTTTTCTAAAGTTTTAGCAGAAAGTTGCTGTTGAAAAAACGTCAAAGATTTTGCCAAAAAGTTCAAAAATATTTTTAGGGAGGGCCAGTACTCCCCTTATCGGGAATCCCGAATATAGTTTAGAGGATCTCACACTGTAGTTGACAATATTTTGTCTTCTATTTTTGTTTTTAGAAGAACGTAAAGGGTTCAGGAACGGACCTATTTCATCAACCTATTAGGTCTTCTTTTCATAAAAATCATTAAAAAGAATTTATTTTAGTATCGATTTTTCTGCTTATTACAGGGAAAACTGGTTAAGTGTTTTTCCAATTAGTATATGTGTTAGCATAGGCTCTGATCTCTATTCAGAAACAATCTGATGAGTTTGATTGAACATTTTGACCATATCAGCTGATAAAAGACAAACTTTTATCATTAAACTATATCCAAAATTTTTGCTCATTGGTGAAAAGATGTCCACTCATATCGCAGTTCTTATGAGGCAGTTCCATGGATAATCGATATAATAAGAGAGGTTTATTCGTAACTACCGATACCTTCATGCAACGAAAGTTGAAGTAATCGAAATATGGCATTATAACTCGTTGTCGGACATTTGAGCTGTAATTTTTCGAAACAAATGGATAAATGTTGAACAGAGTACTCTTTCTTAGCTAACTGATCATGATAATGCTGAATTATACTCTTATTCTTCAGTTGTTTTGTAATTTCTATTTGAGAAGCTCTCAGTATGTCGTCAATATATTAGATTTTTATTAATTTTTGTATTTGAATGAGTAGTAATCGAAAGAGTGATTTCTAAAACAGTTGTTTATTTTCAATATTGTGAGACATGACATTAGTATTCGTTTATCATTTGATTCATTTTAGTCCTAAATCATGTAGTATAAGCGTTTTTCATTTAATGATTTGGATCAGTGATAACTTAAACATTTTTTTATGAACAAGTTCTATGTTATCGTAATAAATATGTTTTATGATGCCCGGGCGTTTTATTTTATTTTTTTTCGTATGTGTTGTTGTTTCTCGACAGTAGACTTGTGGATAGTTGACAGATATCTTTATTAAAAGAGATATAGTTGTGTGCGATTTAATTTAGAATATAATTTGATAGTTTTGTGGTCTTGTTTTTCTTGACAGATATATATTTGCTCCAATTATGGATGAACAAAACGTATTATTATCAACAGAAGTAGAATTATTTGCTGAAGCATTAGAAACATTTGAAATAACTGACATTGCTTCAGCCAGGTACATCTACTATAAAAACATCTGAGAATCATTTATGTAAATATTATTTTTATTTAAGATGGCATACACAACATGAACATATAGAAAAATTAAATATGCAGGCGATATTAAATGCAACCAGAAATGAAGAGGAATACGTTAAAGAAGCCATAATACAATGTGAAAAAGTAAAAAGATAACTGCATGTATTTTAATAATGTATTCCATTATTGACATTGTCTATTTTTTTCAAGTTACCTGTTCTTGTGTCACAATTAATTACAACAGAAATTTGGCGTCAACAAATTTTCAATGAATTGATAAGAATGAAATTTGATGCTAAAATTACATTTTCTATTTATGTTATTGTATGTGTAGATCAATCTTGTGTATAACGATGTTCACCATATTCACCTTTTTTTCATCGTTATAGTTTTATCACGAAGCATGTATTATTAATCTTTTGGAAACATTAATGTTTCATGAAGAGATTTGTACATCATTTGACGATTATTTATTAGATTTAATTGATTATAGTTACCGAATATTAGTTGAAATGATACATCGTTTACAGCAAAAGTATCTCATCACATATTGGTTCTAAAAGTAAATTTTAAGACTTTTGAATTTCAGAGAATTACGTCATCATCAATCAAAATCATCATCTAAAAACAATCAAATGGATGATCGTTCAGTTACGTCAGAAAGTATGAAGGTCTGTCGTAATAATAACTATTGAAACGATTCCAAAAGAGAATATTTGTGTTTGTTTCCTCTTCTAGGAACTTGTTTCACAAGAAGAAAGTTTAAGATTTGATATGGCAATGAAAATATTGAGTATCGTTCGATATGTTTCCGATTGTCTACCAAAGTAGGTACAGCAGTTTTCTTTTCTCTTTTATATACATTTTAAAACATTCTTTCTATATATTTATTTAGACTACCAATTAGTGTTACATCCCGATTATTAGATAATTTTGATTTTGTTCTTTTATTAGTTGAGGTTATGGAATTAAAACCATGGGAAAAAATGCAAACCGATGGTGAGTGAGTATCTCAAGACTCATACAAGCGTTTCTATGGTGGTTGATTATTTCTTTTGTTTATTCAGGTTCGTTTCAACGATATATTGAGGGAAAATGGCAAAATATAAAAACAGAAGATCGTTTTATTATTAATAAAACAGAAGGACAGGTAAAGAAAAATCTCAAGTGTTCAATTGTCTTAATAAAAATTAGACTAGTGGTAGAGATAACATTGGTAGATGGCACAAGAGTTTTCAATTTGGTGCATTTTTTCTAGCATACAAAGGAAGAGCGTTCAGTGCTCAAAAATTTATTTTTATCTTTTAGGTATGGTTGGCTCTTTATCAATTATTATTGAGTCCACATTGTGTACAGAAATACGAATACACTGAATACAAGAAAAATCGTATAACAAAGGTAATAATACTTTAGCTTACTTTAGCTTACGCTATACAATGTGTCCATTTTGTTTTAGTTACGGTCATATATGAATGATGTTATTCTTGATCAAATGCCTAATTTAATCGATCTACAACGATTTTTAGAACAACTTAGTTTTATGGAACCACCATTAGTTAAAAAACAGCTTGTAATAGAACAGGTAACGATAAAACTGTATCTAATTGGTAGAATAACGTATGCTTACAGCAAAATGAGTGAGTGCAGGCTTTTCATTGCCGTGTAAACAGAATCTCTCATAACTAGTAGAATTTTATCTGAGTACAATGTATTAAGGTAGTTAGGAAACTACTTTTGAGATCTTACTATGAACGAAGAATAATTAGCTATAGTTGTTCTTATTAAGGTAACTGTATTATATGAACGAATAATTAATAAATATAAAGGTAGATGGCATGAAATAGCTGAAAAACAAGCAAACACTGTACTTAATCCAGATGATACTGAAGCACGAAAACAAGCACTCAGGTATAATGGTTTGCCTTTTTTGTCTAGCAACATGTTCAGTTCAAAGTAGTTGTACTAATTTCTAGATGGGCTGACACAATGAATTTCGATATATTAGAATCGTTTATAAATGAGTCACCTAAATGTGCAATTTGTGGTCATCCAGCAACAAAACGTTGTTCAAGATGTCAACGAGAATGGTATTGTAGACGGTAAGAATAATTATACTTTCAAACACTAGATTAATATATAGAAACATGTTATTCTATTTATCTCTTTTAATTTAGGGAATGTCAAGTGCAACATTGGCCCAAACATAAACCAATTTGTGAGATGTTACATGAACTGTCGAAGAATCAATCTTCCGAATCTGAATCTACCATTGTCTCTTAGCGAGCAAAAAATTTTTCTGTTTTAGTGTCTGATATTTCAGTTTTGTGCTGTCTACATACTCTTCTTTTCTTAATGATGTGATTAATTTCTACGGACACTGATATAGATTTGTTATGTGCTTACAGTTGTTCTCTCAAATTGAATGTTTTTGTTTTTAAAGAATATTCTCGGCAAATAAGTGAGAAAACTTTTCCGTACACAATATTGAAAAAATATCTTAAACTTGATAAGAAAACATTATGACAGAGATTGAAAAATCGGCTTTTATAGCTTCAGATGGATCGAGCTGAAATTTTGAGCAATAAATAACGACTATTAGTTATATAGAAGTTTTTGCACTTATATGTAAAAACGAGTAAGAAAAATGGTGATTCAAGAAGCTTTATTATCAAAATCTTGACTTTGTTTCTTGACTCTCTACGTTTTATCAAGATCTTAATGAAAAAAATTCAAGAAGTCGAGAGCATGATTATAAGAAAATTCACTAGGGAAATAACTATGAATAGGATTTATTCTTGTGATGATTGTAATTTTCGTGAGATCAGTAATATTCGTTAAAGAAACAGCTTACTTTTTAGGTTTTTTCTTCTTTACCTGTTACGCCTTAACTTTCGGTCTTTTAATTTGTCGTTGATATAGAATAATATGTTCATATTTTTTCCGATTTCTCTCATGAACTGTATCACAAATACTACTGTACATCCAGAATTTGACTATTTATCGTAAAGGGAAAGCTCTTTTTATCATTAAAAATGATAATCTAGCAATCTGTATAATAAATATTATATACCCTTCGACTTTTATCAGAATCTGTTAGTTCTAGTCCTTCACCTCACTACCAATAGTCTATAGATTGGAAACTAACGGAAGAATTTCCTGGATAATATCAGTCAAGAATTCGCAATTTCAGTGATGTACTATCTTTACAACTATCTAAACCGGTTATTTCTCGACAAAAAACGATTAGTTGCAATAACAGTCGCAGAGTGATATGTCTGACACAACAGAATGGTGATCCCATGTAAGAAAAAAACCAAAATCCATACAAAAGCATATTCAGAATGTTTGGAAACCGTTCTTTTAATCAATAATTTACATCTTTTCTTTGCAGTTAAATGTGTCGCCAAATATCGAAAAATGATGATGAAAATTGATTTAAATGAGTCTTAGTAAATACAGAACAGCTTTAAAGCATTTATTATTTACTTTTTATTCAAAATAAACTACATACTATGTATAAATGACATAATAATAATGACTAATGTAAGAAGATTCTAGTGAGATTTTTTCATCATGAATAAATAGACAGATGATAATCAAAGTTTTATCTAGAATGAACAATAAAAGAATTGAGACAAGTATAAGTTGAATGTGAAAAATCCTTAAGTGCAGTATCAAATTTAAATAAAAATTCAATCTTATATGAGAAACCCCTTCAAGCAAAATGGAGAAATGTCACTATTGATGTATCGGCGACAATTAAATCGAGGTGTGTTTGTATAGATTACTAACAGATACAATTGTGAAGAAAACGACAACATGATTGAGGTTATCTGAAGAGATGTAAAAAGCTGCAAAGAAAAATGCATATCCATTATGGATAAAAGGAAAGCTACTACTAGTTTGAAGCTAAAATATACAGCAAATCCATTTTTGAAATAAAAGCTAAAAGAATGGTTATTCAAACGGAAAGAGTTAAGTCGATAGCTATTACAGGTTTTGGCTATTGACTTGTTCGTTAAAGGTTACTTTCTTAAAAGAACCGATTTTCCGCTTTGTAAATAGCTGTAGTTCTTGATCACATCATGTTGTACTCGAACTTTTCTTTATTATTACTTTTCTTAAAGAACATGATGCGACCACTTATTAAAGTTTGCAGCGATCCTACGATGCTTACCGCTTTTCGACGGAAAAGCATTCGTAAGTCTCATGATTTAAGAATAAGTATGAATGCATTCAAACTGTTAAACGAATAAAGTTACACTAGAGAATGAATATAAACCACTTTTACAAGTAGTTCAGTTCACTATCAAGTAAGTTAACAGCGACACCTAACGCTGGTCTCGAGAAAAATAGTGTAAGACTACTGCATTATTTTGCTGATATGTTCAGTTAAGCGTAATGCATATTAATAACTAGTTTCTACAAACTTTCAAACGGGAAGTATACTGAGGAGTCACTCCAGCATTGTCAAAAACATGGCATCTTGCAACCGAATAAAGAAATTTCTTAATATGCTTATTTATATATGTTATTCTCTGCTCGTCGTTTGTTGTATAATTTTTATAAAATCGCCTAACAAATGCCGTCATCCGAGTTATTCGTTGGAAATTTAAATAGGGATGTGTCAAAGAGAGATCTTGAGGATATCTTTGAAAGTTATGGACGTTTGATTCGCTGTGAATTAAAGCAAGGAGCCTCAAGTAAGTGTAATTAGATTCTATTATCCAAATCAAATCAAATTTTATTGTTTTTTATCTTCTGTTAGGTTTTGCTTCGAGTTATGGATTTTTAGAATTTGAATCATCAAATGATGCTGACGTAAGTCGTACTCTATAATCCTTTAAGTAATATTCGAGAAATGTTTGTCGCCATATTTTGTTTCAAAAAGAATCTCACATATTCTCTGACCTTTTTAGGACTTACGTATCAAGGTCATTTTGATTTTTGTGTCGCCCTTCCTGCCTTAAAAGAGAGAAAAATAAATAAGAATGAACGCATACAACAAGTCATAAGTTTGAGCGCAGCAAGCATAAGAGAGAGATACACACACACACACACGTCAAACGTGCATGGTGATGAAAATGTTTTTGCTGTTAGCCGAGCATAACACACGTACAAGAAGTATCCATACATATCTTAGTCATACATACAGTAGTCGTGTATGAGAACAAGCCGTCATTGTTATCATCGCACATATAGCAATCACATGTACACTTTGGGTTATATACTTTCATCTTGTGTCTGTGAGCGTGCACTATGCCATTTATGTTTCTTCAGTTCATAAAGAGTGGTACGTATTGTGTTTTTGACTCGCAGTTTGTTGTTGTTGTTTTTATTGTATTTCATTATTAACTTTTTAACTTCTACTTTAGGCAGCGATTAAAGGCGAAAACGGTCGAGATCATCAAGGAAAAGCAATTATTGTCGAATGGGCACGTAGTTCACGAAGAGGTAAAATAGACAAATGACAAGTTTATTGATTTTCTATATCTTACTTTGACTTGCAGGACCACCAACTGGTTCAAACAATTTTCGTCGTGTATGTATTTCTCACTGCAATTGTGGTGGTAAAACAACATTTTACTTTTTCTTTATTTCAGGGAGGTGGTGGTGGAGGCGGCGGTGGCGGCAGAGATTTAACTTGTTTTAATTGCGGTAGATCCGGACATATATCTAGAAATTGTCGTTCGCCTAGACAAGGTGATCGTGGATATAACGGTGGCGGCGGAGATCGTGATAGAGGTGATCGGGGTGATCGAGGAGATAGAGGTTAGTTATTTGTTTTTACAACCAGCATTCTCCCACCTAACTTTTGCTTTTTTATGTTGAAATATTTTAGATAGGGGTGGTGATCGAAATGGTGGTTCAAATCGTTCTTCACCACGTGGTGGTTATGAAAGACGTCGTCGATCTAATTCTGGTTCTCCTGAGAAACGTGACCGTCGTTCACGGTATGTAGCTCTTTTTACAAATGTTCAAAAGTGTTAAGTTTCTTCAATTATAAATTTATTGAAAAACTACATCTATCCCTCTCGACGTGGGCTGTTTGTGTTTGGATTTATTGTTAAGATATGTTTTTTTCTTCTAGTTCTCGTTCACGAAGTCGTTCTGGTTCACGTTAAATTTTATGGCATGAACGTGGTAACTTCAAACAATTTTACATTGCAGTTTTGTATTCACACCAAATGTACTTTCTTTCGTGTGTTCTTGTGTTTTGTGTATTTGTACACTAATACATCATCTTTTTCTCGCCAAGTTTTGAATGTCCCCAATGTTTCTTTATGTTGTTGCTCTTTTACTCTGCAACAAAAATCATTGTATAAGTTTTTTGTTTATTTTGTGTGTCTATAAAATTGTTCGTTTGTTTAAACAAGAGAAAAAAACAGGTTTCTTTTCTATACAGAACAAATACTTGATCTTCTTGTAACAACAACTTGTATAGATTAAAAATGGATAAAATGATTGTTCTGCAACTTTCTAATACTAATAATTAAGACATAGTTATTGCCAATTACTAATATTTCGAAACAATCAACTTTGATTCAAACTCTACCAGCGATATTGCAATTGTCCTACAACCTTTTCCATCCATAATCAAAGCGTTCGTAAAAAATAAAATAATAAATACTTTAGCGCAGTTCATTAGCAAAAAATCAGCTTATTTGTTTTAAAAGAATGTGACAAAAGTTCAAAATTATAGTGAAATTTCGACAACATTGATGAGAAAACAGGTATAGTTTTTCTTTTTTGTTACAAAAAGACAAAATCACTTCAAACTTGCACAGTCTAACGATTTAAGTTGATCATTTTTTAACCTGTCTTGATAAGAATGATTAAGTTTTTATTTCCATACAATTGATTTTAAAGCTAAGTTATAGAATCATTTACGACTATGTTAAAAACTAGTACATACTAATAATTATACAAGTGAGAACACAGGTTTGTCGTAGAAAAACTAAAAACGAAATATCCAACCAGATGCGAAAGTCATATGGCAAACACATTCTTGACAGAGAACCTAATTAATGGTAAATGTTACAACAATATAAGACTATCTCTATTGGGATACATTTCTCTTTTCTTATACTCAGATAGTGAATTACCAATGCGTGTAGATATGTGCCATCATTTTAGTCGTGACGTTCTTTTTCTTTTTATGATAAGCAGGTGTAAAACCATAGAGTATTACTCTCAAGATGATTATTTAATGTCATTTTCTACAGATATACATATCTATTTTTTATATCTTTTTTTTATCAATATCATCATAAATTCTATTGCCATCTTTGAAGGATGATGCATTATAGAAAGTAGAGAAATAAGAAAATAAATATATCTATCACATAATATTGATCGGGGTAGGTATGAATGTGACTTGAATTTTGTGTGATATTATCCCTTTTCTTGCATTATACTAAGCAAAAAGTATCATAGAAAATTATCTCTTTTTCGAAATTGCCTTGAAAAAGAAAAACGTTTTAGCAATTTTAAATAGGTAAATTATTATTTTTCATCAGATGGTGTAATCTCGCAGGCCATTTGAGTTCCGTTTGTTATTGTTTTTTCTCTTAATGTTTATAAAATCAACCATACATCTAGGTAGTAAAAAATTACATAGAGTCGTACATGATTAAATCGAGAATCTGGACAAGAAGCCTAACATAAAAAAAACAAAAGCAAAAATAATAAAAAAAGATTTTCAGACAACGATTTTTTCGTCTTTTTCCTCATTTTTTTTTTTTTTTATTGTATGTACACCTGTTTTATTTTAAAGAAGAAACGAGACAGGAAATGTAAATGTCAATAAAAGGCGTATTTGTATTTTTGTCAAATAACAATATTATAATAAAAAGATTTGAGTAGAGAAAGAGAGAGGGAGAGAGGGAGAGAGACAGGCTAAAAAAGAATAGTTCAAAACTTCATCAAGATCAATTAACATTATTTTTCTGTCACACCCAACGTGCGTGGTAAACCCTATAGACGCACTGTTTTGTTTCCTATAAACTAAATAATTTTTTTTTATACGGAAAAAAGTGGTTAAATGTTTTTGTGTGGCACAGAACGATTAATTCAGACATGCAATTATGTTTTGAGTAATAATTAACTTTCGAACTATGATTTTATTCTAGTACAAAGAAAAGAAAACAACAACAACAACAACTGGATCTTTATCAGAACAATTGATTTTAAAGTAATAAATCAAGAATATAAAAAAAAATAAAATATAGAGCAGATTTTTTTTATTTTAATATTTATATATATATATATATATAATAGAGATTACTGCCTGCATCATTGTCATTGATAAATAAATTTTGATTACTCAACGGTAGTACTTAATATTGAACGTCATATGTCAAGTTTCTCAACTTTAGATGATCAAACAAGGAAAAGAATTATATATAGTGGAAAACTAAGAATAGTTTAAGAAAAGATTTAATCTCAGTAAAGTATATAACAGAAACAAAAAATATATGGGACTGACTGTGAATAAAACTGAATCGATGAAAAAAGAAAATATATGGAAATATAAAGTAAGTTGAAAACCTCTTTTAATAATACTTGAAATCTTTGTATTGAAGTAATGTAATTTTTCACGAGTAAACCCTCGACTAAATGATAAATTTTATAATTTTTCATATTTATTTTACGTAGATAAAGATGAATACGATGGAAACATTCTAATATATATTTAATGATGATGATGTTGTATTCAATTATATATCTTGTAATATTAATATTTGCTAATATTTTGATACATATCATCTTTATCGTTAAAACAACTTGGACAAACAAAAGGAAAACACGTTCGATTATTCAAAACCGTTTACCCATACAAACTCCATCTAGTCAGTTTACAATAGTTTTTATTATTTCTTATACATTTTTAACTGAAATTCACATTGCCACTTCTATTTTAGAAAAAAATTCAGAAAGCCTAAACTAGTACAGATATTTATTAGGAGGCGGATATTTTTAACTTTTCGTCAGTATTTTTGGCATCATTGTCACTGTGGAAAATGTTCTATCTAACCCTTTCTTTTTGTCTCAAGAAACATTTACTTAAACGTCAAAAAATAATCTAGTTATGCCACTGCCTACGTAATGCGTGTCTGTAGATTTCTGCAACAGATCTGCATAAATTTTGTGATTTGCACATTTCTGTGAAGAATCCGCATGCAGAATGTAGACAACATTTGTATCAGAATTCTACGGCTTGTTCAGCTAACGGTGCTTTTTTTTTCGCTCTTTTTCAAAAAACTATTGCAATAAATCTACAAACTAATCTAAAATTGCAACTACATAATTAAGTAGATTAAACATTTCCTATAAAATGAAAAGTGTCTGGGCTCTAAACGTTGATTCGTTATGAAAATACAGCTTTTGTATAAACAGCCCAAAAAATCGATTTGGTGGCTATCTGAAAAACGTGTCTAAAAGAGTGAAGACGATCTGGCGAAAATTGAACAAGTATACCAGTTTGTTGAAAATTGTTTGCTCTTCAAAATGTGATAGCATTTCAAGTTCGAAACTATTCTAATTAATCTGTATTAATCAAAGAAACATCAGAAAAACGGTAACACTGTGAAAATTATCACAGCACAGTTTTCGCCAGCTCGTCTTCACTCGTTTAGACACGTTTTTCAGATAGCCACCAAATCGATTTTTTGAGCTGTTAATACAAGAGCTGTATTTTCATAACGAATCAACGTTCAGAGCCCAGACACTTTTCATTTTATAGGAAATGTTTAATCTACTTAATTATATAGTTGCAATTTTAGATTAATTTGTAGATTTATTGCAATAGTTTTTTGAAAAAACGCGAAAAAAGGGGATCGTTATAGCTGGACAAGGCGTTTAGTAGATTCTGTGCAGAATATATACACAAATCTGTCGCAAACTGTTACAGAATATCAGCAGACTCTTCACAAATTGTCGTAGACTTACTACACGCTGCAGTCTTAACAAACCTGTTTGCTGAATACTTCCAGAGAAATCTATCAAAAACGTGAAAATATCTACAAAAGTCTTTCCACTGCTACAAATAATTTGTGCCGAATCCTGTTCTCTAACAAACTGCAATCTCCTCTCTAGTAAAAAAAACAACAACACTTGAGTTCCCTGAACGCGTACATATATACTACGTATCAATACTTGTGTGACTATATGGAAAGGTCACTCCCCTCGTAAAATCTGTATGAGTTTCCTGTCAGGATCCGAGACATTTCCTACTAGGATTTCGCTTTAATTTCTTAGGACCCTAAAATAATCCCACAAAATCCTAATGAAATCAGGTGTATCCGAAGGTCATAGGATTTTCTTAGATTCTGTTCGGATCCTAAGTAAACTTAAGCGAAACCCTAGTAGGATCCTAGTTATTTTTAGGATTCTGCTAGGAAGTTTTAGGTGGATCCTAAATGTCAGGATCCTGTAAGATCCTAGTAGGAAATAGATAGGAAGTGTGCAGGATTTTGTCTATGGTCTGTGGTAAAGACGAGGAAATAGGCCAATAGCGTCTTTAAATCTGGGTGGGCTAGCTCTCATTTTTGTTTCATATTTACAGATGTGGATGCTATCTCAACCGCTACCACTAGAGATGGTGACTATGCATCAAATATCGTTCTATTAGAATCGAATAAAAACTTTGTCTGTGATCAGACATCATCGGTATTTAGCAGAGGCATTCGACGTTATGAACTATTCATTTGCAGTGAGATTTTTATAATTAATTGGTTTCGATTCGGTTTATATTCGTTTTCGTGGTTTCCATCATACTTAAAAAAACATAATCAATTCTGCTTAATACAAGCATTTCTTCTACATTCATTGGATATTATTCATATTTATTTAACATGTCTACTTCAGATCTATTGGTTTTATTGTTTAACGTTTGAAAAATGTTGGCAAACAATAACGTACAAAAAAATATGTTTGATTCAATTATTTCTTCTACTATGGACTATCATGCTCACATGGCCAAGTACTACACATGATTGGTCATCGATTATTTACGAATCTGCTATTAATCTATGTGTTGTTAATTATTCATTTAATCGATGGTATACAATCTTTGTAATTTCACTCGGATGTCTTATACCATTTCTAATCCTTTTAATTATAC